ACACGCCCTCGGGTATCAGGCACTTTAATCTCGGCTGCACCTTTGCATACTGGGCAGGGTCAACAGACAATCACCCCACACAGCATCTTGGACTGATTAGGATCCTTCAGCATGCTTACACTAACACAGTTCCAGAAGCAAATTTGTATGTTATCGCTACCAAACATGACAAGCAGCAGAATAACCCAAACCCAACAAACCCCAAAACACCGAGACCACCTCCTGATCGCCAATCACCACTATATTCGTTCCCTGCATAGCACATTGTCTTTTCGAACTACACTTGAAGAAATAAGGGACAAATAACTGAGCAGAAATTATAACCATCACCAAAGACAAAAGTAAAAAGTCTAAAATGCTATTTTTAGTAGCCTTTATTAGTTAGGGGCCATTACATTTCCACTAGTTGTTCACATTTTACTATTTTGATTTTTTATCCTAGCTCATCACACAAACACCAAGTACCTTCTAACCTAGCTGTTGTAACATACATGGTTATTTCATGTAGTTTTAGACTATCACTTGCTCTTCAGTGAGCACCAACCCCATCCAATTTGGTATCTTCATCTAATTGAGTGACAAAATGTCTAGAATCTTCATGTATCTTTTAGCTACTACTTTAAAATCACCCAGAATATAAGTACCTGTCTCTTGTATATCCCAGTTTAGGTTCAGTATAATTGATGATATCCTCAGCTGCCCAAGAAGGTGATTGATTTCCACAAAGAATCATCTGAACTTCTTCATGGCTGAAGGAACTCAGCTTCTCCATTGGGAAGACTCTATTGAAGCCATCTTTAATTTACACAAGATACAGTTACAAATGAAAAGAATGTTTATAAAATAATTTCAGCATTTCAATTATATTTTAATCAAATCAGAATTAATCAACAGTTACTTTACTAAGGTAAATGGAACCTTTTCAAGATTAAAAATGGCATAACTAATGGAAAGCTGTTAGGAAAATAATTTCTTTTCTATTTCATTCTGAAGTTTGTTTTGAAAGCTATTCTATGCCACCACTTTAAACCAGCACACCCTGAACACCAATTAGTCTACCTAAACTGCATGTATATTCTGCCATATTCACCTCTGAATGCCTCCATCTGTTTCTGTATACCAGTATGCATGCAGAAGTCAAACATGAGATCTACGTATTCCTCTGCATTATCCATTGTTACAGTCTGCAAAGACAACAGATAAACACTGTAAGAATTCATTTTGCGTTACAGTTACTGCTGAGGCAGTAAAAAATTAACTGCTGTTTAAATTGTAAAGGTAGGTTGTTTCCATACCTCATCTTCACCACCTGGCTTGAGATCCACAGCTGTAAACCCATATACTTTGGACGAAGGGCAAAACTGAAAATTTAGACTTCAAAATACAAAGATAGTTACTAATTGCCAACAAGTCTGCTACTGCTTTTTCAAATACACAAATTTATAAACTGCACCCCACACACCCGAAAGGATGTCACCACACATTTAAAAACATCGTTTGTGGATCATTTTGTATATACACCAACAGTGGTGCCACGGTACAGAACTACAATTAGTACTGGACTACACAAATAATACCTGTTCCAAATCCGTGGTATGCACGTGTGTACTCACTCACTCTTTATTTGGATTTGATAATCCTTCAAAATTCCACAGATTTTGGTATCTTTAAGTTATCAGCTTCAAAACTACTCAAACTGTTTAATTCAGTTCACAAGCTCAAACAATCCTTTCTTTACATTAATTTCCAGCACTAAGGGCTACAGAGCCACTTAACATATCAGGCATGTGGGCCCTTCAATGGTGCTCCTTGCTTTCTCTCCACAACAAGCCCCGCTGAAGTCCACGAGGCTGCAAGCAGTTACTGAGCTCTGACTATGCAATCCTTGTGGCACAATGTGATTTTAGCAAATAACCCATAATATTAATGGTAGAAAACCTACTGCTGTTTCCACAGAAATAATTTAAAACTACAAAAGGTGACATCCTGACACAAGTTTACACAAGTATGAGCACTTTTATGTCTAGAACATTTGCTAACTTTCAGCAAATGTTCTGTTTAACATGGATTCAAACACTGCACTGCGTGTCTATTAACACAATTTGAAATTTCAGTCTGCCCTCTTTAAAAGTTCTCCAAAAAACTTGATAAATTTCCGTAGTTATCATAGCAAAGAAATTACTAATTCACACTTTTCTAAAGGTCTTTACAAGTATTTGGGTGTTTCTAGAGAGTCATACGGCATTGCAGTGAAGCCGCATTTAAGTTTAAACATGAGCAAACTGAGAAAGTGAGAAGAGAAAATCCTCAAACTAAGGAACAAGAACATAGCTACAGATGGCAAACTGGATCTTGCAGAATCTCTAATGATTCCTTCTTGCAATGATTCTATTTAAAATGAAGAAATCTTCATTTTTAATTATATGTGTTGACATTTGCCTCCAACACAACACTGCGTGCATATTTATAAATAAATGTGAAAATCTTACCCCAAATCCTCTATGCTGAGAGGAGGCCCCGAACCTGATGGATTCTTCAGCATTAATTCCTGTAGTTTCGTGTTCTTTTCATCTTCTGACAGACTTTTGTTGCTTAAAATTTGACGCCTTTTAATTGCAAGGTCCTTAATTTCTTTTAGAAACCTAGCTCTATGTGGATTTACTAATTCAAAGTCTTCCCATGTTAAAATTCCATTAAACCAGGCAGGAGGTTTAGGTTTTGGGGGATCAAGAATAAATTCTGATTTGGAGTCTTCTTCCAGACTTCCTACTGACAAGGAATCATGCCCTTCTTCTGTAGAAGCCTCCGACTGACTTTCAGTACAGTGCAAGTCTCTGTCGCCCCGTGATTCATATATCAACTTACTCATGTTACTTTTAATATCCCCCATACACATGAGTTTAAAAAAAGGCTTAGAAATGGGCAAATCCACAAGTCTGTTGTCCTGAATGCATTTAGCCAAGAAAATTCCAAGGAAATGAAAGAGTTTGGTTATTCTTTCAAGTTCATCACTATCTTGTGGGAATGGTGCTGTGAAGAGTCCACATGATCTCTGTACATAGTAGCCAGGGGGTTTCAATCCACCACCAATATCAACCTGATTTAAGAGACACACACAAAAAAGTTGACATTGTTAAAGGTGAATTTAATTGTATCTCTGTGCTGTTTAATAACTTTTTATATTCTACTTCTCCGTTAAAAAGAAAACGGTTAAGAAAGCAAGCTGTGGAGCAGAGTGGTCTTTCTTGACCATGATGAGTGGCTGCTCACTGATCATGTCTTCTTCCCCACCTGGACATCTATCTCATTTTTCTTTTCTACCAGTATTCAGTTTGAAATGCAAATTGAAATATACCTGACGAGACTCATCATCTGGAAAGTCATCATCACAAAGCCAAGCTCCCAAATCTGTCCTCTGAAATTCCGCTGCCACCAATGCATAGAACTCCAAGGTAGGACCCAGGCCTGTTCCTTCCTCCCCTAAAAACTCAACCTAGAAAAACATAAGGAACATTAATAATAAAAGAAAATCCTAGTGAAATGTTCAGTGTTAGTTATGGAGCAGGATATTGAATATCCTGGCCAGTACATTAGAAACAGCTATCTAACCTCGCTCTGCTTGGCAGATATGCTTTACCTCTAGAACAGATTTTCTGTCTGCATGAATCTGCATGACATTTTCTGCCCATTCCATCAAGGATTCACCTCGCGGAACTTTCACTCTTTCATGTTTGAGACGTCCAACTCTGAATTCTCCTGGATCATCACGTCGCACTGTGCTTGTGGTCCTTGTCCGTTCCACAGTAGCTTCACGTCTGTTCTGTAGCCATACAATTGCTCTGGACAAAACCAAAACCCAGTTGTTTAAAACTACAGTGACTACCAGCATGAAAACTCGAAAGTAGCCACTAAGAAAAAATTACCTTGTTAAGTACTTTTTTTTTTTTTCTTTTTAAGTTATATACCAAAGTATTTAAGTATTTAGGGATTTGAACAGACTGGATTGTTGGGCTG